GGTGACCTGCCTCTCTCTCTCTGTGATGATGAACTGATGAATACCTGGAGGTGACCTGCCTCTCTCTCTGATGATGAACTGATGAATACCTGGAGGTGACCTGCCTCTCTCTCTCTCTGATGATGAACTGATGAATACCTGGAGGGTGACCTGCCTCTCTCTCTGATGATGAACTGATGAATACCTGGAGGTGACCTGCCTCTCTCTCTGATGATGAACTGATGAATACCTGAAGGTGACCTGCCTCTCTCTCTCTCTGATGATGAACTGATGAATACCTGGAGGTGACCTGCCTCTCTCTCTGATGATGAACTGATGAATACCTGAAGGTGACCTGCCTCTCTCTCTCTCTGATGATGAACTGATGAATACCTGGAGGTGACCTGCCTCTCTCTCTGTGATGATGAACTGATGAATACCTGGAGGTGACCTGCCTCTCTCTCTCTGATGATGAACTGATGAATACCTGAAGGTGACCTGCCTCTCTCTCTCTGATGATGAACTGATGAATACCTGAAGGTGACCTGCCTCTCTCTCTCTCTGATGATGAACTGATGAATACCTGGAGGTGACCTGCCTCTCTCTCTCTGTGATGATGAACTGATGAATACCTGAAGGTGACCTGCCTCTCTCTCTCTGATGATGAACTGATGAATACCTGGAGGTGACCTGCCTCTCTCTCTGATGATGAACTGATGAATACCTGAAGGTGACCTGCCTCTCTCTCTCTGATGATGAACTGATGAATACCTGAAGGTGACCTGCCTCTCTCTCTCTCTGTGATGATGAACTGATGAATACCTGGAGGTGACCTGCCTCTCTCTCTCTGTGATGATGAACTGATGAATACCTGAAGGTGACCTGCCTCTCTCTCTCTCTGATGATGAACTGATGAATACCTGAAGGTGACCTGCCTCTCTCTCTCTCTGATGATGAACTGATGAATACCTGGAGGTGACCTGCCTCTCTCTCTGATGATGATGAACTGATGAATACCTGAAGGTGACCTGCCTCTCTCTCTCTCTGATGATGAACTGATGAATACCTGGAGGTGACCTGCCTCTCTCTCTCTGATGATGAACTGATGAATACCTGAAGGTGACCTGCCTCTCTCTCTCTGATGATGAACTGATGAATACCTGAAGGTGACCTGCCTCTCTCTCTCTGATGATGAACTGATGAATACCTGGAGGTGACCTGCCTCTCTCTCTCTCTGATGATGAACTGATGAATACCTGAAGGTGACCTGCCTCTCTCTCTCTGATGATGAACTGATATGAATACCTGGAGGTGACCTGCCTCTCTCTCTCTGATTGATGAACTGATGAATACCTGAAGGTGACCTGCCTCTCTCTCTGATGATGATGAACTGATGAATACCTGAAGGTGACCTGCCTCTCTCTCTCTGTGATGATGAACTGATGAATACCTGGAGGTGACCTGCCTCTCTCTCTGTGATGATGAACTGATGAATACCTGGAGGTGACCTGCCTCTCTCTCTCTGATGATGAACTGATGAATACCTGGAGGTGACCTGCCTCTCTCTGTGATGATGAACTGATGAATACCTGGAGGTGACCTGCCTCTCTCTCTGTGATGATGAACTGATGAATACCTGGAGGTGACCTGCCTCTCTCTCTGATGATGAACTGATGAATACCTGGAGGTGACCTGCCTCTCTCTCTCTCTGATGATGAACTGATGAATACCTGAAGGTGACCTGCCTCTCTCTCTCTCTGATGATGAACTGATGAATACCTGGAGGTGACCTGCCTCTCTCTCTCTCTGTGATGATGAACTGATGAATACCTGAAGGTGACCTGCCTCTCTCTCTCTGTGATGATGAACTGATGAATACCTGAAGGTGACCTGCCTCTCTCTCTCTGTGATGATGAACTGATGAATACCTGAAGGTGACCTGCCTCTCTCTCTCTGTGATGATGAACTGATGAATACCTGAAGGTGACCTGCCTCTCTCTCTCTCTGATGATGAACTGATGAATACCTGAAGGTGACCTGCCTCTCTCTCTCTGATGATGAACTGATGAATACCTGAAGGTGACCTGCCTCTCTCTCTCTCTGATGATGAACTGATGAATACCTGAAGGTGACCTGCCTCTCTCTCTCTGTGATGATGAACTGATGAATACCTGAAGGTGACCTGCCTCTCTCTCTCTCTGATGATGAACTGATGAATACCTGAAGGTGACCTGCCTCTCTCTCTGATGATGAACTGATGAATACCTGGAGGTGACCTGCCTCTCTCTCTCTCTGATGATGAACTGATGAATACCTGGAGGTGACCTGCCTCTCTCTCTCTCTGATGATGAACTGATGAATACCTGAAGGTGACCTGCCTCTCTCTCTCTCTGATGATGAACTGATGAATACCTGAAGGTGACCTGCCTCTCTCTCTGATGATGAACTGATGAATACCTGGAGGTGACCTGCCTCTCTCTCTCTCTGATGATGAACTGATGAATACCTGGAGGTGACCTGCCTCTCTCTCTCTCTGATGATGAACTGATGAATACCTGAAGGTGACCTGCCTCTCTCTCTGATGATGAACTGATGAATACCTGAAGGTGACCTGCCTCTCTCTCTCTGTGATGATGAACTGATGAATACCTGGAGGTGACCTGCCTCTCTCTCTCTGTGATGATGAACTGATGAATACCTGGAGGTGACCTGCCTCTCTCTGATCCTCTCACAGATCAAAGATGCTCCTTCCTGTGATCCTATTGGTCAACACGGCGGACGAGTATTCGCCCAAAACATCTGCCAACGATCAGAGAGGTTGGGGGGGGGGGCTGACACTACGCTGCAGTGGGCTGAGACTCACACAGGTGAGAGTGTGCGTGCGTGCGTGTGTGTGTGTGGGGACCCTCACCTGATCCCCTCACCTGTCCTCAGCTACCTGTCTAACCCTCACCTGATCCCCTCACCTGTCCTCAGCTACCTGTCTAACCCTCACCTGATCCCCTCACCTGATCCCCTCAGCTACCTGTCTAACCCTCACCTGATCCCCTCACCTGATCCCCTCACCTGTCCTCAGCTACCTGTCTAATCCTCACCTGATCCCCTCACCTGTCCTCAGCTACCTGTCTAACCCTCACCTGATCACCTCACCTGTCCTCAGCTACCTGTCTAACCCTCACCTGATCACCTCACCTGTCCTCAGCTACCTGTCTAACCCTCACCTGATCACCTCACCTGTCCTCAGCTACCTGTCTAACCCTCACCTGATCACCTCACCTGTCCTCAGCTACCTGTCTAATCCTCACCTGATCACCTCACCTGACCTCAGCTACCTGTCTAACCCTCACCTGTCCTCAGCTACCTGTCTAACCCTCACCTGATCACCTCACCTGTCCTCAGCTACCTGTCTAACCCTCACCTGATCACCTCACCTGTCCTCAGCTACCTGTCTAACCCTCACCTGATCACCTCACCTGTCCTCAGCTACCTGTCTAACCCTCACCTGATCACCTCACCTGTCCTCAGCTACCTGTCTAACCCTCACCTGATCACCTTACCTGTCCTCAGCTACCTGTGGGGTTCCCCAACAGCACTGACCGTCTCTTCCTGGACCGTAACGTTCTTAGCGCTCTGCCGGCCAACAGCTTCTCTGATCTGCCTCTGGACGAGCTGGACCTGTCTCACAACTATGGCGTTATATTTGTGCCTCTATCCTGAGCACGCAATGAAACATGTTGAGCATAGAAAATGCTATTGAGCGCACTTGAACAGTTTTGAGCAGAGAAATATATGTCCTCTCATAAAACTCCAGCTCCGTGCGCAAGCAGACCGCTGCACGCGCTCTCTCTCCCCCGCTGGCTCGACCTCTCCAGCCTGTGCGCGCTCAGCTTTGCCTGCGCTCGCTCAAGTTGTCACAGCGTTACAAATGTGCCACAAAACCAACCAATCGGAGAACTCGAGAAGGTCAATTCTGATTGGCTGGTCCAGCGCCATGTAGAGAGAAGAGTTGCTACAGCGGAAGTCCAAAATGCTTGATCGTCACGTGGTTCAGAGAGACTCAGAAAGTTCCCGGAAGTTCGTGGCGGGCCATTTGAATCACGATTTGAATGCATTAATACCAGGATAGAAATGCAATTTTTGGTAATTAGTGGTCAATAAAGGTTTTGATTTGCAATATTTATAGAACATATCGATATGTGTATGTAGTTACATCAATGTGTTGTTTTTATTTTTTTAAATGTGCTAATATTTGAGGATTAAGATAAAATAAGAAGTAGGCTACGTTATTGATACCAATCGAAAATGTAAACATCTTAAATAGAAATAACATAGCAGAAAATAGACATAGTGTGAACAGCTATCTTACCTGTTAACATACATGTTAGGCTAACGTTGCCTTGGTTACAGAGCCTGTTGTTTATTGCTTTGAATTCTTTAAAACAAATATGATCTTCTTGAACCTGAATGGTAGTCAGGAGCATCACATCCTAATGTTTGATATATTTAGAGGGAAGGAAGGAAGGCTTCAAAATTCTGATTAGATTCATTTCTACCATTTCTTTCATTCATGGTGGTTTCAGTAATCCCCTGGTAGCTGAGGACACAAGTCATCTACATGAGTAATGTCTTCTGTATGACTTTCAGAAAGGACAGGAGACCCACCGGTGACTATCTAGCAGCAGCAGCATGATGATGATGATGATGATGATGATACATGTGTTGTTTTAGGAACATCCATGTAAATAAATGGAATTCAATAAACATTGAATAGCATATCATGCAGTTTGTCTGAGCCTTTTCCTCCGTGTTGTCCGGCATATCGTCTCCCCCATGGCTTGCTGGGCTGCCGGGGGATGCTCAGAGGAAGGAGTACACATAAAAGTTTCCCTGCTGACACAGAGAGGAGGAAAGAAGGGCTGGCTCAAGTCAGCAGGAGCAATGTAACTATCACAGAAGACAACAACAGCAACAACATATGTGAGGTAATCATATTGTTCACAAAACGAAGACCACACCATTGGGAAGCTTAACGTCTATTTAATCAAAAATAAAGAACAGGGAGAGGCTTGCAAAGCTCTGGGAGGTGAGACTCAGGCTCAGGGTGAGGGTCTCAGTGCAGGTCTTCATGCTCCATTGAATCCCCCTGGGGTTCTTGTGCTGAAAGAGGGAGACAGGAGAAAGGGTTAGATACATCTATAGGATGGGACATTGCTGACCTATTTTAAACGTACCTTGTGTTTCCGCTCTCACTTAAGTCCCTCTCTCTTTGCCATCAATCCAACATCAGCTGAGCTGCAACATAATACAGACAGGTAATAATCAACAGAATCACAAGGACATTATATGGCTCTGCTAAAAACACTCACCCATAAGTTATGTTTTTGTTTACTGTTTGGAAGTCTCAAATATCCACTCTAAATCCATATCAATGGCGATGTATCACACAAATAGCTCTCTTCCTTATGATTGTGTAACGTTAACTATATTATACTAGCTGGAACTCCAAAATGGATATCCTCATTTCTCCACCCACTACAATCACACGCCCAATGTTATATTGAACTAATATGTAACTCCCTCCACCCCGGATAGAAGCACGTTAAGAAGCCCCTTTTCTCTCATTCCACAACGTTGGAGGAAATAACATTAAGAGAACAGATTAATAGGCTGTTCATGGTTAACGTGTGTTGCTAACTTTAGCCGGTATCCTAGCCTCATCTGTCCGGTTGAAAATTAACTCAAGCATATGCCCATTGTAGAACAGCAAACAGAAGTTGGTCCAGGTTCTGGTCAACCCAACATTGTGATAGAGAGAGAAACATGTTTTGTGATTCTGCCACCTCTAATGCTTACAGCAAGTAATCAATACCTCAGAAGGGTTCATGTAGCTACATGTAGGCTACGGTTTGTTAGCGGTTTGCTTAAACTACCCCTATAGCTATGATGCCGGCTAGCAAACTCAGGCATTGCAAACAATAACGTGATATCAGAAAACTAGAAATGTATAACTCACCTGACACTGTGGCTATTCTCTTCATTCGAGTCATGTCCTGTAAATGTCAACGATAGATGTGTAATTAGAACGTCAACAGCCTGATGGCAACGGAAAATCCCTCTCTCATCTCAGATAGAAGATATGATTGGAGACGACCAGCCAATCAGAATTGACTTTCTCGAGTTCTCCGATTGGTTGGTTTTGTGGCACATTTGTAACGCTGTGACAACTTGAGCGAGCGCAGGCAAAGCTGAGCGCGCACAGGCTGGAGAGGTCGAGCGAGCGGGTATGGAACGCCTCAAGTATGGAACGCCTCAAGTGCCACTATCCTATGGAACGCCTCAAGTGCCACTATTCGCCCGTTTAAAACGCGCGTTTTTTGTAAAAAACGCGCAATTTTCGCGCGTAACACGCGCGTTTTTTTAATATGATAATGAGCCCCACCTTCTGTTTTGCATAGCCAGTACATTTAAAGTGTGTGCAACCAATCAGTGAAGAGTTAAGCCAGACTAAAGCAATCTGTTGATGAAAAGTTTCTGTAACCTACCCCATTGTGAGATTTAGATAGAAAATAATCACAATAATTAAATCTAAATTAAACATTTACAGTAAATAATATAAAGTATAAACATATCTACAGTCACAATTTCATTAATGTTATTCATACTTTCTGTTGTGTAGTTTATTAATGTTCCCGTGCTTTCAGCTTCCATCCAGTAATATAATCAGTAGAGGAAAAGTGTGTGTGTGTACAAGATAGATATTAACTTTACTCCACAATTTCCTACCGTATTATTAAATAAGTCTGCTGAGGGGACACCTGTAACTCAATTCATGTGATTTTTGGGTGATTTATTCAATAAAAACCTCTGTATTTTCAGAGTTAATCAAATGACAGCCACATTTTTATCTAAAGTGTCTCAAACACGTTTAAGGAGTGCAATGCAACTGAAAGGTACACTAATAAAAGTAAAACGTTGTACCAACAAAAAAATATTAGAGTAATCAATCACACGAAATATTTTACAATGACTCAATTTCTTCAGATCAATCTGTATATTTTAACACCAGAGCACATTTATTTGAATGAAAAACAAGTTGTTCACACAACCAGCTTTGGCCTCTGAGGCAGCCATTACCTGATCTTAGACATGTTAATAAGTACCACAGTTAAAATGCGGTAATATGTGGGCCGCTTCCAAACATCAAACTCTTAGAAAAAAGACATGTCCTTATTATCCACTGCACACTTTTTTAAAGCAACACTGACAACGTGCGCCTGTGAGACATGTAATCTCTGAGAATGATTAGACATGCATAACTTCTACAGTGAAAATCGGTCATACTGTAAGTGCAACTTCTGAACACAACACTTTTTCGCAAATGTTTTACAATGCATAATTATTATAAAACCTTGGTTTTAGAAACCTTACCATGTAACAATGGTAACTGTGAGTGAGTGCAAACAAAGTGTCTACCAGCTGGGTTCTCGGTCTATTCACTTTTGGGCTCATCTTTTTCCCCTCCATCAGGACTTTTTGCACAACTTCAAAAGTGGATTGCAGTTATTTCTGATATCTTAAGTTCAGTCAGACAACTCACGTGTTCCTTTAACATGTTTATTAGAAGCAGCATATAGTTGAGTTTGGCGACTAGGCTCGGGCATCATCACTCCATAGATATACATAGCACGATGAGTGATGATTAAATAACTAACCCAGAGCCTACAGGTGGAAGCTGGGGTGGTGGTGGGGCAGCGAGCAGCAGCGACGTAGAGGTAGCTGCGGCAATAGCAGCAGCAAGCAATGCATGGAGAGAGATCTGGCAGGTTAAATAGAGCGGCATATTAAGGAGACTCTGTTTGGTTGGTTGTAGAGTGGCAAGGGGGCGTTATGTATGAATGCAGCATAAGTGCTCGAGTTGACTGCCTGAACTAGCTCGCAGGCTTCGCCCCATTTCAGTGCGTATATGAGCCCGAAGAGCATGGCAAAAGCTGTCGCAACCGAGGGCAAGCCGCTGAGGACCTCTGTTCCTTCGATGAGAACCTTGACGTCTTTGGGTCGATGAAGCTGATCCTCTTTCCCAGTGTCAAAGGCTTCCATTGTTGCCTGCTCCAGTTCTCCAGCCTCAGCGTCCTGCAGATCATGCAAAAAAAAGGGGAATGGATGAGGACCACAGAGCGTAGTTCAACAGGCCTGAGGCGTCAGTTCAGTCGGCCCAAGAGGAAAGCTCAGGAGGTCATCACAAATGACTATCTTTCTAACCAAGCAGTTATTTGCATGCAGTACAAATATGTTTTCTTTTATGAACAAACTTCTTGTGAGTGAGTGGGAGGTCTTACCTGGAATTCTTTGATGAGATGGTCAACAGGTTCACCCAAGTAGATCATTAGAGATTTGAGGATGCATTCTCTTCTGATGGCGATGTCCACAGTCTGAGTAAGAACAGAGATATATATAATAAATTAAATGCAAATAAAGGAGGAGTCAGCCACTGATCCCACAGATAAAAAACTCATTCATAGATACCTCATCCAAAACCTGCAAGATCCCGGTGGTCTTCTGTTTCACAACTCCTCCCCTGCTCCTGATGACCTGAGTGTTTGTCCAACTGCGCCAAGAACTTTGTCTCTAATGGAATTGTTGTTATGAAATCAGCATTTACCTAGAAAATATAAGCAGCATAGAAAACAAAAAACACTGAGAATTTATAATACACATGTTTTTTATAAAGAGCCAATGGTTTGATTAAAAGTACTCCAAGTCAGCTTGTATGAATGTAACATTTAAATTAATTAATCCACATATTTATTGAAAACCACCACCAAATAAAGACACTAAGAGTAATAGATGTAAAGCTTATATTGTGATATATATTAAAAAATAAACGTCAACATATTTGCCTCGGCTGTCTATAGTTGTTAGTTAGTTGGGCCCTCAATTCTTCTCCACTACAGGCTTACAATCAAGGGTTTCATCAAAATAATTACCTCTTCCATGTGAAAAAGTGCCACCGCTCCAAGAGGCCTTCAATGCTTGGCCTCCGATGCACTATTTCTTGTCTTCAGTATCCAAACGCCTTCGCCATCTTTTCTTTTATTGATTGCTGGTTGTTTCTTTTCTGTTGTTCTGCCAAAAGAGAAATCGTCTCTTGCTCCATGCTTTCTGGAGTCTCACCAATCGGCAAGGATGGAAAATGGTTGGCCTCAGCTCGCCTGGCTCTCTTTAAAATTCTTCGCAGGGTAGGACTCTTCTTGAGACTTGGTCTTCAACGAGTTCACAGCAAGCTCTGCAGATGATTTGAGCTTGGTGTCAGTCTAGATTGGTTCTTTGTGTACTCTGCATTTCCTCTCTGTAATTGACATTCTGTGTCATAGGAGAAGACCGGGATTGGAAACACTTTAGGCCACTGCTGTGTTCTTAATGATTCTGAGGAAGAGCCGCTAAGTAGTACTGTGTCATCTGTATTCACAGATCCAGAGGAGTCTTCACTGTACAGTCCACTTGTAGGGGTACTATTTAATGGTATCTCAACTGGGTACAAGACCACAGTTGTAGAATCGGGGTCTAATTCGACAACTTTGATAACTGTTAAATCTTTAATCGCATGTGTAGATGTAAGATTAACAAATGTGTTCCAAAAATCAGTGTCTTTATACTGTAGCCTTATGTAATCTTCCAATCCACATGAATTCTTGACCTCCTCAATGAGCTCTTCCATTGAGTTGGGAATCTCATTTCGAAGCTCCAGTCTGACGCTGTTGTGGTCGTTCAAGATGATCAGCAATCGAACAGGTGGTTCAATATCAGCCATGGCGCTCTAAGAGAAAAATAGAAATAGAGATGTGAAGAGGGAATTAATGAAATGCAGGTGTACACTCAATACATTCTTTCTTTTCAAATTGCATTGTGTTGTACTTTACAAAGTATTACATACAAAGTTCATATATATATATATATATATATATATATATATTAGGGCTGTCAAACGATTACATCACAGCTTAAAAATTAATTAATCATGATTAATCACCATTCGAACTATGTCCAAAATATGTCATTTATTTATGTATATTGTTGGGAATGGAAAGATAAATGAAAGAAGGCGGATATATCCATTTAACATACATGCATGTATGTTTATTATAACATTGTTCTGTGTGTCAAAATGAAAGACAGCCCACTAAAATTCGTTACTCAAAGCCTATACTTTATTTTAGGACAGTGGTCAACATTTTGGTGATGTAAAAATATATAACACGATGTTGTAAACTAAAGTTACATTTACAATATCTTTATCAATTGAACTTGAAAAAGTCGCTCGTCAATATGAAATTAACACACTTACTCTGTCCTTAAATTGACGTTTAACACCAGAATTTCTACTCTGGTAATAAATACAAATTCATAGTCTTATCTATTTATTTACAATAGAAAACACGCAGCCCGCCTGTTCATACTGTTTACAGGCCACCAAGCCTCAGTTAAGAAAAGGTAAAGTTAATATACTTAATGTTTGTCTGAGTATATTTACCTTTGAATCTGGCCATGACTCATGCTGGTAGACCGCTAACGCTAGCATGCTTTATTCAGACATTGACTTTAGCCTTTAGTCAGGGGCGGACTGGGACACAAATTCAGCCCGGGACGTTCAGACGCACCGGCCCACACACCGGGCCGCCGCCCACGCATGCGGGCCACCCTTGTAGCCTACAGATAAATGAATGATACATCTACTATGCTCATATACTGTATACTGTTATGGCTAGATTCCCCAGAGTCAAGCCATAACATAAAAGAGATGGACAACAGGAGTAAGGTGCAAAATGAAACCTTCCTTTAGTTAAGGTTTCTTAAAAATGTCCGTGTCATGTGTGAAGTGTGTCAAAGGGGCTGACTGTAGGAGTCAGTAACGTGAATGTACAATTGGGATTAAGGACAAAGTACAGCTAATGGGTATAGTCAAAAATGGTTGCCTGTGCCTGTCTGTAAACAAAAAGAAGTGCCAATGCACATGCAGCTCAGACATGCAATCAATGCCATGTGGTCTAACCAACAAATGATTCTAATAGTCATTATGAGAGCACCAGTATTAAATAACCAACTTCAAGGAATACAATATCATGCACAGTAATGTCAATCACTAAAATGAATGCAATAGTGAATTGGCCACACATCTCTGTGTCCTTATTATGCAATATTAATATTATTGAATATTAATATTATTGAATATTAATATTATTTAATATAATTATTTAAAATTATAATATTAATATTATATAATTTAACTTGGAATATCATGAGCACATGACTCTATCCTAATGCATCTAACTGTATGCCCAATATAATAGTCTGGCCAGCCCTGCAGCCCGTTCTAGGTTCTGATTGGCTCTCTAGGTTAGCATTCTAGCTTCTGACTGGCTGTCCAGGTTGTCAATCACAGCCGTGGGCATATTATACTAGTCGTAACATCGCTAAACTTTTTTCTTGACGGTTTTCTCAGTCAACTAATGCTATTGCTAACAGTAACATACATGAACACAGCCCTGCACCTGCTGTCATTATATGCCGGGTCTGTGGTCCATCATCTTCCTTCTCCTCCTTATTACTGGGAGCGGGAGCCCTTCTACTAAACAGCTCTGTGATTTCGAAAATGTTCCAGCATCTTCGTGTAGCAATTTTGTTTTTTTCATTCTGGCTTTTTCAGCCCCACCCTTTCTTTGTTTACTGTTCTCCATCTTGTCTTTCTCAATTTCGCTAGCTAACTTACTGATCAATCATCAAACGAAGCTAGGGAGCTTGTCTGATGAGTGGACCTCGCGGGCCTCGCCCTCTTATCTCTCCCGGCCCAACCCCTTCAGTTCATCTATTAGCCTACTTTCGAAAACATAAGATTGACAAGTTTGACAACCTATCAATAGCCCCGTTTACATGGAATGCTTTTCCGATCATATCCCATCACTAAATAAAGCGATCCACGTTCACTACATGGGCCAAGCATTAAGCTGATTACAATGTCACCTGTACCGAAGTGGGCCGATCGGAGTGGGGCAGTGGGCCGCGTCGATTGGTCCGACCGGCCCACTTCGGTACCGGGCTACCGGCCCATCGGGATTCGTCCCGAACGTCCCGATGGCCAGTCCGCCCCTGCCTGTAGTCGAATTGGAGTCATGGGTGGGTAGTGTTTTTACAGTCCACTAGTTCGGTTAAGAACATTTAACGTTACAGTTAATGTTGTGTTGAGAAATATATGCTCTGCTGAATGTTCTTCACTGGATAATGCGTGGTCTGAATAAAGCATGCTAAACGTTAGCGCATGCTAAACATTAGCACAAGATAAACGTTAGCGCATGCTAAACATTAGCACAAGATAAACGTTAGCGCATGCTAAACATTAGCGCAAGCTTTTACGGCCTACTCAGTCAGTCACGGCCAGACACACGTAGGCTAACGTTTCCCATAAATAACGTTACATTTTCTTAAATGAGCTACCGGACTGTAGTAACGTTAGCCACCCATAAATCCAAGCGGGCTAAAGGCTAATGTCTGAATAAAGCATGCTAGCGTTAGCTTATAAGGGCTATCAACAGCCGGTAAGACCCACAGCCAGAGTCAACGGAAGATATACTCAGACAAGCGTTAACGTTTCGGTATGTGAAATTATATTAATACATATATTAACATTAGTTTATCCTTACCAGTATCACATGTGCTCGTTTTCCAAGTGTCAAAGACTGGATAGAGGCGGATGAAGACTGCTGGTTACGACGATTACCTCTGTCACTACCATGGTCACTACCGATCTGTACTGCGCATGTGCGAGATGGTCTGCTACATACGGCAACCCAAATGGGACACTTGACACAGTGGTCTTTGGCTAAGCAGAAAAAGAACACCCGACAATATTAATCTGAACGAGAGAGATTAGTTAGTTAGTTAGATTAGTTATTGTTATTACAACGTGACTTCATATTATAACGTGACTTCTTGGCCGCGGGGGGCGAGCTTTACAGCTTTACAGCTCTCTCCTGAAAGACTGAGAGGCTCTGATAACCTCAGCTCAGTGAGGTAAAGGCACACCTTTATATGATCATTATAGTTATAAAAAAATAAGAGAATAGGTGAAAAACAGATATAAAATACTGACAGTACAAATAGGTTGTTATTAATAAATAAGAATACAGTTTGAAAGGGGAGTGATTTGTAAAATATCCATAAAGAAAAAGAAAATCTGCTTACAGTTCTGTTTCATATGGATGTTGAGAGATGTATCCATAGATCTCCTAATGTTGCTCTCAAAGTGTACCAGCTAAAATATTGCCTAGGGCGGCAAATTGGTCAGGGCCGGCCCTGCCCTGCCCCGCCCATTTATTTAGCTTCCGGTTTAGTAGACAACGAAAAAAGTAAACAATTAATTATATTTAGCCTTTAGGAACAGTGCTTTGTAATAACTCTCAGTACCAGATTAATTACCTAACCAAAACACATTTACTACCCAATAGCATAGTTCCATCCCCTGAAGACAAGGAATGTGTCATAGTAGAAATGTGCAGCCCAATGAAAGAAGGAAGCATAAAGCTTGTACATTTCTATAACCCGTGTAAAAATCTTCACATTGAAACTTTACAGACAATAGCAGGGACGAGTCATAGAAGGGAAGTATGGTGTGGTGATTTTAATGCTCACAACAGCCTATGCGGAAGCAGTCAAACAGACAGTAATGGTGATGTTAGAGGAAAGATCATTGTTTTGCCTTAATGATGGACAAAAAACAAGAATAGACGTGAATAGGGGGACACAATCATGTTTGGACCTCACACTTGTGACGGATAGTTTAGTTAAATCGTGTGAATGGAATGTAAACGTGACTATACCATAGGAAGTGATCATTACCCAGTATTCTCTATCATCAACACAAATAGGAAGTGAGTATATTTTCCAGGTGGTGCTTTGGTAAAGCAGACTGGGAGAAATGTAGAATTCGCTGTAAGGAGTCAGCACAATTGTTAGCATTAGAAGGAAGTATAGAGGAGTGCTCAAATCAAATCACAATGCACATTAAAGAAGCAGCAAATATAATTATACCAAAAAGAACAACAGAGGGTATAGGAAGAAAGTGGTGCCGTGGTGGAATGAGGAATGTAGCAGAGCTATTAAAGAACAAAACAAGGTATTCAGTAACTACAGACATAGCATTAACATCACACTTGTGTAAATGGATGGAGAAGATGACATAGACATGTCTTAGAACAAAGAGGGTTGCTGAGTAATTTCCAGACTGGTTTTCGCAAAGGAAGATCCACAATGCTTTGGTTAGAGTGATCAATGAGGTGGGAATACAGTGTGAAGACACTGAAAATGAAAGAGGTTATGTATGGCAATAGTATATTTTGACATTGATAAAGCTTATGACTCTATGTGGAGGGATGGGTTACTCATCAAATTAAGTGACAGGTGACAGTAACAGTGACAGTAACAGGATCTTGGCTCAGACAGGAAATTCAGAGTTCAAGTAGGGGCAGAGGTTTCGAAAGACTTCAATATAGAAAATGGTATTCCCCAAGGGAGTTCAATCAGCCTGATATTATTTAACATTATGATAAATGACATATTGACTAAGTTGGACGGATGCATCAAATCTGCGTTGTATGCAGATGACGGGGACATATGGATAAGGGGAAGAAATGTTCCAGAAGTGGTCATACAACTGGGGTTTCAAACTGTCAGCAAGCACATCTTGCTTCATGACATTTACAAATAAACGCAAGATGGAGACTGAGAAGCTTACATCATATGGAAAGCCGATGAATGAGGTCAATGCATTTAAATATCTGGGGCTATGGTTAGATAGTAAATGTACATGGAAAAACCATATTAAACATTTGGAAACAAAATCCCAAAAAGTTTTGAACCTATTAAGAGCAGTGGCTGGATGAGACTGGGGGCAGACAAACAGGCACTAATTGACATCTATAGAGCAATTATGAGGACAACTCTGGATTACGGGTGTATAATATATATGCAGCAGCAGCAAAAACGTCATTACTAAAAATGGATAGATTACAATACAAAGCATTACGGTTGTGTATAGGTGCAATCAACAATTAATCAATCATTATCACAATTACCTCAAAATATAGCCAACACAGATAGATAGATTCAACTTATTGTCATTACACAGTACAGGTACCGTGTAACGAAACGGTTTCTCTGCATTTGACCCATCCTAGTGTTAGGAGCAGTGGGCTGCCATTATGTACGGCACCCGGGGAGCAGTGTAGGGAACGGTGCTTTGCTCAGGGACACCTCGGTAGCACTTGGTATTTCCGGGACTTGAACTGGTGACCTTCCAGTTGCCAAGCCCCTATGGACTTCGCCACCACCGCCCGATGGTTCTAAGAACAAGGAAGAGTGTGTTGGAGTTGTTATATATATCCCAGACTTTAAAATATCAATTTCAAAAAGAGCGTCAGATCAATTATCAGTGAGCAACAGAAATGCTGGCTGTAATAATAGGATTACAGTGGGTTGAAGAGGTCAGACCAGATAGGGTGGTGATATGCACAGATTCATTATCCATTTTAAAAAGTATACAGTCAACAACAACTGTCAGAAAATAATTACTCATATAACTTAATCTAGGAAATCCTGATAGCTAGACTCAGACTGGATCACACAGCATTGAATGTTACTCTATGTCGTAGGAACTGTGGAGTTAAAGAAAATGTGGAACATATCATATTACACTGCAACATGTACAAAACAGAGAGGGAAAAACTAAGAGACAGGGAGAGTGGAGCCTGATGGGGATACTGGGAACAGAAGGTGAGGGGGTAAGAGCTACCAGGAAGGCCATTCTTAAGTATTTGAGTGAAAAAGGATTGATTGGAAGAATTGAAAACAACGTAAACACAGTGGTATAATTCCACAAGTGCTGACAGGATGATATGTTGATACACGCTCTTGTACAGTAGGGGGCGGTATGCACCTTAAAGTTGTTTGCAATCCGCCAAAAAACCGAGAGAAGAAGAAGAAGAACGATTATACATCCATGGAACGACCAGACACATGGCAGCAACGTTCCCATCTGCTTCATTCATTTCTCCTGTTCAACAGGTTAGTAGTGTGGACACAGATTATGTCATATTTCGATCAAAGAAGTGTCTTTGAAACTGTTTTATGTGTAGTTTAATGTCATTCTGTGAGCTACGCCACTAGCGTGTGGCTAATGGCGCCCGCTAGCTTCTTTAGCGCAGGCTGTTGCTCCCTGAATAATGTAGGGCTCTACCATGTTACCATGTGTATGACTCCCTTGCACTAGTTTGGCTTACATTTCAAGTTTATTCTGTTTGTATAAATATGTGAAATGCTGGTCTGAGGTCATAATTGTTCATATTATTTAAATGCTAAAGCGCTAATGCTATGCTAATAGTGTGCCTGTACAACATAGCAATGTTAAAGTGAGTACAGTCGACCGGGTTGTGTGTGTTATCTGTAATCACTGTATTATATACTGTAAATGAAAAAGGCTTTAATCCTTCATCAAAGTCATAATATGGCATGTGGATTTATGTCCATTTCTCATTAGAGATACATATGTCATACGGTTATTTTGATTTGCTAAAAGTATGTTTACATTCTCAGTTAGCTTCAGGCCTCACTGAGGAGAAGTATTGAGGTAGAAAGCTGGTGAAGCCATTTCCTGCTGTCATTATATTCTGTTTGCACAGATAATAAAGCTGGTTGACAAGAAGGACGTCGTTTTCATTCGACACAACGCAGAGATACATGTGGCGTCAACCCAGACCGGTTACACAAAGAATGATAAATAGAGAAAACAGATATCATTTGTAAGTGAATTTATTAATTAGTTTAATACATTCTGGCTAGAACGACCACACAAACGGCAGCAACTTTCCCTCTGCTTCATTCTTTTCTCCTGATCAACAGGCTTATTATCTGATTACCAGCTCTGCACAGCGGACAGGTAACAGTAGCAGCAGTGGAGATGGAGCATCAGAACCTGGAGGCTTCTACTCTCCTGAAGAAGAAGAAGAATACAGCAACAAGGATCCATTTGAAGATAGGTAAATGTAAATATTACAGTAATAGTGTACTTGCATTGTGTGGGTGTAAGGGTGTAACTTTGGTTTGCGAAGTGGGGGGGACACAAAACAGGGGGCAATGAAACATTTTCTCAATTTAATTCCATTTCCTGCCTTTCTACAAATATATTAGGGACTATAGTGTTAATAAATCCAAGAAAAATGTGTAGTGTATATAATGAGTGTGCACACTTATCTAGTATCCTATCCATGTGAACCTGTTTTATTTGTGATGACCTCACATCCTCTAGGGGGGGGTACTAGTATATATTTCAATCATCAAAAATCCTGCTTGCTCACAAGCAATAACACATATTTGATCAACTCCTCTCTCCTATCTTTATCTGACCTAGTCTGCATTCTTTCTTTTTATTTATGCATATTTTACTAATCACGCCCCTTTCAAACTGTGTTTTTTATTTTGTACTGACCTATTGCACACAGTGGAATGATTTATTAACTCATTTTATATACAACTAATATTACATAGATGGAGATGATGACCAAACCTCCCTGAGCTGACGTTATCTCTCTCTGTCCCACAGGAGAGAGCTCTCCCTCTCCTTATTGTTGAAACGGCTTCTAATCTCCGTTAGCTCCGAGCTAGCACCAAATACTAACAACGTCTCTCTTTCTATCTCTCACATCCTCCTCCTCCTCCTCCTCCTCCTCCTCCTCCTCCTCCTCCTCCTCCTCCTCCTCCTCCTCCTCCAGAGAGAGAGAGATAATTTTATTTTGAGTTGTGCATTGTTATTTGTGCTTGAGAAACATTCCACTTGAACTTTATTTGAACAAACTTAGTAGTAATTATTGTCCTATATTTTTTTTCAGATTTCACAGCTGCCTGGGCCTAGCAGCAAGAACCTCCATCTGTCCCTGCCCCCAGGTCAAGATCTACCGTGGCTCAAGGGCCTTCACCGCAAAGGACCAGAGGACCATCATCACTACAGTGGCCTCCATCTCCATCTGCCACAAGATTAAGATACACCTCGGGACAAAGGCCTCCACCACAGCCATCACGATCAACCCAGCCAGCAAAGAAGTCTCGCCTAGCACCGCCTCGGTGAGACTCCAGAAAGCATGGAGCAAGAGACGATTTCTCTTTTGGCAGAACAACAGAAAAGAAACAACCAGCAATCAATAAAAGAAAAGATGGCGAAGGCGTTTGGATACTGAAGACAAGAAATAGTGCATCGGAGGCCAAGCATTGAAGGCCTCTTGGAGCGGTGGCACTTTTTCACATGGAAGAGGTAATTATTTTGATGAAACCCTTGATTGTAAGCCTGTAGTGGAGAAGAATTGAGGGCCCAACTAACTAACAACTATAGACAGCCGAGGCAAATATGTTGACGTTTATTTTTTTAATATATATCACAATATAAGTTTTACATCTATTACTCTTAGTGTCTTTATTTGGTGGTGGTTTTCAATAAATATGTGGATTAATTAATTTAAATGTTACATTCATACAAGCTGACTTGGAGTACTTTTAATCAAACCATTGGCTCTTTATAAAAAACATGTGTATTATAAATTCTCAGTGTTTTTTGTTTTCTATGCTGCTTATATTTTCTAGGTAAATGCTGAGTTAATGCGCATAACAACAATTCCATTGGAGACAAAGTTCTTGGCGCAGTTGGACAAACACTCAGGTCATCAGGAGCAGGGGAGGAGTTGTGAAACAGAAGACCACCGGGATCTTGCAGGTTTTGGATGACGTATCTATGAATGAGTTTTTTATCTGTGGGATCAGTGGCTGACTCCTCCTTTATTTGCATTTAATTTATTATATATATATATCTCTGTTCTTACTCAGACTGTGGACATCGCCATCAGAAGAGAATGCATCCTCAAATCTCTAATGATCTACTTGGGTGAACCTGTTGACCATCTCATCAAAGAATTCCAGGTAAGACCTCCCACTCACTCACAAGAAGTTTGTTCATAAAAGAAAACATATTTGTACTGCATGCAAATAACTGCTTGGTTAGAAAGATAGTCATTTGTGATGACCTCCTGAGCTTTCCTCTTGGGCCGACTGAACTGACGCCTCAGGCCTGTTGAACTACGCTCTGTGGTCCTCATCCATTCCCCTTTTTTTTGCATGATCTGCAGGACGCTGAGGCTGGAGAACTGGAGCAGGCAACAATGGAAGCCTTTGACACTGGGAAAGAGGATCAGCTTCATCGACCCAAAGACGTCAAGGTTCTCATCGAAGGAACAGAGGTCCTCAGCGGCTTGCCCTCGGTTGCGACAGCTTTTGCCATGCTCTTCGGGCTCATATACGCACTGAAATGGGGCGAAGCCTGCGAGCTAGTTCAGGCAGTCAACTCGAGCACTTATGCTGCATTCATACATAACGCCCCCTTGCCACTCTACAACCAACCAAACAGAGTCTCCTTAATATGCCGCTCTATTTAACCTGCCAGATCTCTCTCCATGCATTGCTTGCTGCTGCTATTGCCGCAGCTACCTCTACGTCGCTGCTGCTCGCTGCCCCACCACCACCCCAGCTTCCACCTGTAGGCTCTGGGTTAGTTATTTAATCATCACTCATCGTGCTATGTATATCTATGGAGTGATGATGCCCGAGCCTAGTCGCCAAACTCAACTATATGCTGCTTCTAATAAACATGTTAAAGGAACACGTGAGTTGTCTGACTGAACTTAAGATATCAGAAATAACTGCAATCCACTTTTGAAGTTGTGCAAAAAGTCCTGATGGAGGGGGAAAAGATGAGCCCAAAAGTGAATAGACTGAGAACCCAGCTGGTAGACACTTTGTTGCACTCACTCACAGTTACCATTGTTACATGGTAAGGTTTCTAAAACCAAGGTTTTATAATAATTATGCATTGTAAAACATTTGCGAAAAAGTGTTGTGTTCAGAAGTTGCACTTACAGTATGACCGATTTTCACTGTAGAAGTTATGCATGTCTAATCATTCTCAGAGATTACATGTCTCACAGGCGCACGTTGTCAGTGTTGCTTTAAAAAAGTGTGCAGTGGATAATAAGGACATGTCTTTTTTCTAAGAGTTTGATGTTTGGAAGCGGCCCACATATTACCGCATTTTAACTGTGGTACTTATTAACATGTCTAAGATCAGGTAATGGCTGCCTCAGAGGCCAAAGCTGGTTGTGTGAACAACTTGTTTTTCATTCAAATAAATGTGCTCTGGTGTTAAAATATACAGATTGATCTGAAGAAATTGAGTCATTGTAAAATATTTCGTGTGATTGATTACTCTAATATTTTTTTGTTGGTACAACGTTTTACTTTTATTAGTGTACCTTTCAGTTGCATTGCACTCCTTAAACGTGTTTGAGACACTTTAGATAAAAATGTGGCTGTCATTTGATTAACTCTGAAAATACAGAGGTTTTTATTGAATAAATCACCCAAAAATCACATGAATTGAGTTACAGGTGTCCCCTCAGCAGACTTATTTAATAATACGGTAGGAAATTGTGGAGTAAAGTTAATATCTATCTTGTACACACACACACTTTTCCTCTACTGATTATATTACTGGATGGAAGCTGAAAGCACGGGAACATTAATAAACTACACAACAGAAAGTATGAATAACATTAATGAAATTGTGACTGTAGATATGTTTATACTTTATATTATTTACTGTAAATGTTTAATTTAGATTTAATTATTGTGATTATTTTCTATCTAAATCTCACAATGGGGTAGGTTACAGGAACTTTTCATCAACAGATTGCTTTAGTCTGGCTTAACTCTTCACTGATTGGTTGCACACACTTTAAATGTACTGGCTATGCAAAACAGAAGGTGGGGCTCATTATCATATTAAAAAAACGCGCGTTTATTTGATCAAATAAACGCGCGTTTTACGCGCGAAAAACGGGCGAATAGTGGCACTTGAGGCGTTCCATACTTGAGGCGTTCCATAAGCGGGGGAGAGAGATCGCGTGCAGCGGTCTGCTTGCGCACGGAGCAGGAGTTTTATGAGAGAACATATATTTCTCTGCTCAAAACTGTTCAAGTGCGCTCAATAGCATTTTCTATGCTCAACATGTTTCATTGCGTGCTCAGGATAGTATGGGGGTTATTCCCTATCTTTATTCAAGAGCGTGGTATTTAAATTTGAGAGCATACTTTATGTATTTATTTCCCTCAAACTCTGTCCTCGCACTCAAATAGTGCCCTCGCACTCAAATAGTGCCCTCGCACTCAAATAGTGCCCTCGCACTCAAATAGTGCCTGCTTGCACTTAGATGTGCTCTGCTTCTGCTCAAACTGTACGCTTGCACTCAGATATATGGCTGCTTACAGATTTTTTCTGCTCTCAGATTTATTCTGTGCGCGCTCGAAACTTTTGTGCAACAATCCTGTCAAAATCCCTCAACCAATAGGAGGCCAGGTGTCCTTGCGGGTGTGTTCGCTTTACTTATTACAGCGTCCCGTAAGGGCGGTTACTCTTTGGTTTATAAACTCCCGCCCTCCACGGCTTTAAAGTTTTAATAACATGTACTTCACTTCGCTGTACAACTTTTTTTTATAAACATATACAGTTAGTATGTTTATAAAACGGACAAGTCAAATCAAGCAATCTGATGTTTCTTAGCCGTGATATAATGAGCGTATATCCCGGGTATAATTGTAGTTACTTTTCACAAATCAGTATCCCTCCGCGTCTGAGAACCGTTACAACTGTTACATTACGTCCGTTACGAAACTAACTAACTAGGCTAACTAACAAAGCTTAAGATGGAAACATTTCAGGTTAACTTCGACCTCCGGGGTGGCCTTACTATGGAGGAGTGGATTGAGAAGTGCCTATCTCCAGAAAAAAAAAGCACCTAAACGACGACAATACTGTTTGTCTAATTATGTTCTCTTGCTGTTATTGTTGTTGCATAGCAACCACCTCGCACTATGTTTTGTGCAGAAGGCAACGGAGGGACTATTTTATTTTGAACATCATTATTTAATAATAAAAACTATTTAAATTGGAGTGTGTATTTTTCTTTCACATTGCCAGCCACACGTGGTAACCGTTTTATAAATGCAATAGCTCACTTCAGGCCGTGATATACGAATATATCTATACAATATGGGGTTGTCGACACTCCGCTTCTCGTCGGGCCGAACCAAGCCGTAGCACAACAGTGCTGGAGCAGAACAACAGTCTGGAGGATCGCTGTCCAACATGGAGCAAAGTGAAGGATCCCAAGTAAGTTTTTTTTGTGATATCGTTTTATTTGCCATGCTTTTTACGCTGGCAAGGGTGTCGTGAATCAACCACGTCAGGTCTTGCTCATTGACATTTACTAACATGGCTATTAACGTTAGCTTAATAGTCATGTTAACCAAGGTGGTAATATTTTAAATGGCTCTTAAATACACGCAATATAGCCTAGTAATCGTAATGTATGCTTCTGTGAGTTGCATTGTCCCTTCATCCATGGGTGTAGCACATGTTGTTGCATGAGATACTGACGGGCTGTCAGGAGAGGGAGAGAGCGCTTCCGTGTATTTCTCCCGTGTTCTTATCCAAAATTAATGTAAACTTGAATAATGTATTTCATTTGAATGTAATAATTATGTTGGTTGTTGTTTGTGGAAGTGCATCATGTATGGAAAAATGAATCTGAACTAAAAACTGAAGCATTATAAAAAATTAGCCCCATTAACTGAGTTTTAAACATCACTTTAAATGGAAGATCCCCATAGCCAACACCCACCCTAGATCGGATTGGCGATCGGCATGGCCGATACTGATTCCGGTGATCGGCCCCAAAAACCCTGATCGGAGCATCCCTATTAATAATGCACAATCCTACACCTACAGAGAAGCACCATCGAAGAGGTGGCAAGAAGCCTGGTTTGATTGCTGTGGACTGCCAGCTACAAGCTGGCAGTCCACAGCAACAGCAGTCAGCACCGCCACAGTCTAGTATTCAACATGAAATGGCCAGGTTCTGTACATGTAGCATGCACCTACTCAGTGCATTATATGGTTAAGACAACCAATATGTATCATTGAATAAAGCATGTCTTCAAATTAAGATTGGGCCTAATGAATATAACTTTATGTAAATCCACAGGTCATTTCCAGGCTACTTCTCAAAAGCGCCTGCAAGGGGAAGAAAAAGATTCCGGTCTCCCTGCAGGGTGATCACTAGCAGTGGGAAGACTGTAACGCTGCAGTTCTATATGTTGAAAGGAAACACAGACAGGACACCAACAGCAAGCAGCGAATTAGCACTCCTCCTTGCTGGGATGGGGAGTCGCACCATCACACTACCCCAATCTGCTGACCACTTTGAGGTAAAGTAAGCCAACCTGGATTCATTAACTAGTGTGTTTTTGTACAAAATAAACTTTAAGAATCGAAAATGTACAATGTATCCGTAATATTTGAACACGTCTACCTAAAATGTGGTGTATACCCTCATGCAAAGCTTTCAAACATAGAATATGGATGAAAGGTGTACTTCTTTCATATGATGGGTGTATTGTGTTTTGTACAGATTTCAAGACTCCTGACCAGTCAGTACCCGAAACTTGCGACTTTATCAGGAGGCTGGCTGCTGTATAAAGCCCTCGGTATTGTAGATCTACAAAAGCTGTGTACTGAATCATTTATTTATGTTTTTAGTCTTCATTTATTCAGTTATTGCTCGTTTCAGGTGGATCGGGACAACGTAAACTCTCAGTTATCCCCCCAGAAACTGAAGGTTATAATGGCCACTTTCTCAAAACTGTGACCGGAGGAGGAAAGAACACAATCTACATTGTTCCACTCCAGGATGAATTGGATACATCCCCTCTTCCTCCAGATGCAAATGAGTTTCGTATTGCATCTTGCTTTGCAATCTCTCCAAGATATGACGTCTAAGCAGGTTCTGTAGAAAAAGTAGGCAATAAATATAGGTAGGCTACAGTTCATGGTACACAATTTATTGTGCATTTCTCTGAAGCAAATGTAGTGAGGGCAACATATGATCTTACATTAAAAATGACATGAAGAAAACTGTATATTTCCCTATTCCTAAACAATGAAATAAGAAAAAAAGAAACCCATTTTGTTGTCAGTTGCCTAGCAACAATATTCACGTAACGTACAACACTTGAAAGCCAATTATTATCATAGATGTGCCGCAAATATGACTACCACATTAATAGTACCATTAAAATAAAAAACTTACTTGGGGTCCTTGACTTCGCTCCATGTTCGACATGGGACGTCCGGTACAGAAGTGGGCCGGTCGGAAAATTCACTAGCAATCCCCCCTCCCCCCGTTGACAATTTACTAGCGATAACGAGGGCCGGTCGAGATTCCCGGGCTCATTTTTAGTCCCAGTACGCCACTGAACGTAGCTATTATGTAAGGTGATGGTATATATATACTAACTGTGCTCCCCAACCCCAAAAAAAAGTTGTAAATCAAACAAGTGAAGTACATGCTATGTTATAAAGCCGTGGAGGGCGGGAGTTTATAAACCAAAGAGTAACCGCCCTTACGGGACGCTGTAATAAGTAAAGCGAACGCACCCGCAAGGACACCTGGCCTCCTATTGGTTGAGGGATTTTGACAGGATTGTTGCACAAAAGTTTCGAGCGCGCACAGAATAAATCTGAGAGCAGAAAAAATCTGTAAGCAGCAATATATCTGAGTGCAAGCGTACAGTTTGAGCAGAAGCAGAGCACATCTAAGTGCAAGCAGGCACTATTTGAGTGCGAGGGCACTATTTGAGTGCGAGGGCACTATTTGAGTGCGAGGACAGAGTTTGAGGGAAATAAATACATAAAGTATGCTCTCAAATTTAAATACCACGCTCTTGAATAAAGATAGGGAATAACCCCCATAGGATAGAGGCACAAATATAACGCCATACACAACCAGGTACTGACTCACCTGCAGACAGGTACTGACTCACCTGCAGACAGCTACTGACTCACCTGCAGACAGCTACTGACTCACCTGCAGACAGGTACTGACTCACCTGCAGACAGGTACTGACTCACCTGCAGACAGGTACTGACTCACCTGCAGACAGCTACTGACTCACCTGCAGACAGGTACTGACTCACCTGCAGACAGGTACTGACTCACCTGCAGACAGCTACTGACTCACCTGCAGACAGCTACTGACTCACCTGCAGACAGGTACTGACTCACCTGCAGACAGCTACTGACTCACCTGCAGACAGCTACTGACTCACCTGCAGACAGCTACTGACTCACCTGCAGACAGCTACTGACTCACCTGCAGACAGGTACTGGCTCACCTGCAGATAGGTACTGACTCACCTGCAGACAGGTACTGACTCACCTGCAGACAGCTACTGACTCACCTGCAGACAGCTACTGACTCACCTGCAGACAGGTACTGACTCACCTGCAGACAGCTACTGACTCACCTGCAGACAGCTACTGACTCACCTGCAGACAGGTACTGACTCACCTGCAGACAGGTACTGACTCACCTGCAGACAGCTACTGACTCACCTGCAGATAGGTGCTGACTCACCTGCAGACAGGTGCTGATTCACCTGCAGATAGGTACTGACTCACCTGCAGACAGGTACTGACTCACCTGCAGATAGGTACTGACTCACCTGCAGACAGGTACTGACTCACCTGCAGACAGGTGCTGATTCACCTGCAGACAGGTACTGACTCACCTGCAGATAGGTACTGACTCACCTGCAGACAGGTACTGGCTCACCTGCAGACAGGTACTGACTCACCTGCAGACAGCTACTGACTCACCTGCAGATAGGTACTGACTCACCTGCAGACAGGTACTGACTCACCTGCAGAGAGGTACTGACTCACCTGCAGACAGCTACTGACTCACTTGCAGACAGGTACTGACTCACCTGCAGACAGGTACTGACTCACCTGCAGACAGCTACTGACTCACCTGCAGATAGGTACTGACTCACCTGCAGACAGGTACTGACTCACCTGCAGAGAGGTACTGACTCACCTGCAGACAGCTACTGACTCACTTGCAGACAGGTACTGACTCACCTGCAGACAGGTACTGACTCACCTGCAGAGAGGCACTGACTCACCTGCAGAGAGGTACTGACTCACCTGCAGAGAGGTACTGACTCACCTGCAGAGAGGCACTGACTCACCTGCAGAGAGGTACTGACTCACCTGCAGAGAGGTACTGACTCACCTGCAGATAGGTACTGACTCACCTGCAGATAGGTACTGACTCACCTGCAGACAGGTACTGACTCACCTGCAGAGAGGCACTGACTCACCTGCAGAGAGGTACTGACTCACCTGCAGATAGGTACTGACTCACCTGCAGACAGGTACTGACTCACCTGCAGAGAGGCACTGACTCACCTGCAGAGAGGTACTGACTCACCTGCAGAGAGGCACTGACTCACCTGCAGAGAGGTACTGACTCACCTGCAGACAGGTACTGACTCACCTGCAGACAGGTACTGACTCACCTGCAGAGAGGCACTGACTCACCTGCAGAGAGGTACTGACTCACCTGCAGAGAGGTACTGACTCACCTGCAGAGAGGCACTGACTCACCTGCAGAGAGGTACTGACTCACCTGCAGAGAGGCACTGACTCACCTGCAGAGAGGTACTGACTCACCTGCAGAGAGGCACTGACTCACCTGCAGAGAGGTACTGACTCACCTGCAGAGAGGTACTGACTCACCTGCAGACAGGTACTGACTCACCTGTTAGCCCTGCAGCTGGAGGTGCTGGTGTTCGTCTTCAGAACTGTTACAGGATGTGTATTTTGTAAATTGTGTAATTTTTGTATCTTTAATATGTTGTATAGCTAACATTAAGCTGTCTTTTGGTTTGATTCTGGTTCTGGTTCTGATTCTGATTCGGTCCCCTTCCTGTTCCAGCTGTCCTCTCTGGACCCAGGGTGTTTCGGCGGTCTGGACTCCCTGCGGTTCCTCGACCTGTCCTTCAACCTGCTGACGGCTCTGGACCCGGCGGCGCTGGGCGGGTTGCGATCCAGAACCAACCTCACACACACCTGGCACTGTGACTGCCGGATGCAGGTGAGTGTGTTCAGTGATCAGAGAGTAACTGTATGTGGTTCTGATCAGCTGATGGTGCCGGAGCTGGTTCTGGACCCGTCGTCTCTGCCCGGAGTCATCTGTCAGACCTCAGACCTCCACATCCTCGGTACGTCTCTGCCCCCCCGCCGTGTGCTGCTGTGTTACAGCGTCACACGGCCCATCACAAACTGTAACACAGCGCGTCACATGGCTCTGTACGGGGTCATGTGACGCGGAGTGGAGTGAGCCAGAGTGTGTATGTGTGTGTGTGTGTGTGTGTGTGTGTGTGTTGGTCCTGCTGATGAGTGTGTGTGTGTGTGTGTGTGCGTTGGTCCTGCTGATGAGTGTGTGTGTGTGTGTGTGTTGTGTGTGTGTGTGTTGGTCCTGCTGATGAGTGTGTGTGTGTGTGTGTGTATGTGTGTGTGTGTGTGTGTGTTGGTCCTGCTGATGAGTGTGTGTGTGTGTGTGTGTGCGTTGGTCCTGCTGATGAGTGTGTGTGTGTGTGTGTGTGTGTGTGCGTTGGTCCTGCTGATGAGTGTGTGTGTGTGTGTGTGTATGTGTGTGTGTGTGTGTTGGTCCTGCTGATGAGTGTGTGTGTGTGTGTGTGTGTGTGTGTGTGTGTGTGTTGGTCCTGCTGATGAGTGTGTGTGTGTGTGTGTGTGCGTTGGTCCTGCTGATGAGTGTGTGTGTGTGTGTGTGTGTGTGTGTGTGTGTGTGTGTGTGTGTGTGGCCTATTCTACGAAGCTGGTTCAACCTAACCTGGATATGTTTGAGTTAGCCGGTTGGCCTAATCCAAAACATACGCGCTCTCGCTAAGCGGTCCTACGACGCGGGTTATCAAGTGGATCGCTCAAGCCAGCCGTGTCCTATCTAGCTAGGTGTTCACATGAGAGGGGTGGTATCTGGAGCATTCGACCAATCACAGACATGGAGAAGCGCACTGACAGCGCAGCGTCATACTTCCTGAATGAAAAGTCAACTTTAATATTAGACATATGAAGAAGTTAAAGTTTAAACATCCATGACTTAAACACTTGATCCAGGATCAAAGCCACAGAGCTGCACCTGCAAGGTGAACACAGCTGGGAACAGAACAAGTGTTTGAATGCGTACATTAACAGCTTTATGATATCACTGCCGTCTAAGACACCATCTGACTTCCATTACATTTGACTCCAGTGTTTCCTCAACTTAATGTGTTGCTTCAAATAATGCTTCTGCATCCAGTCTGTGACGCTGTGAGTGTTGCACGGCCAGATACGGCTCAGCTGACTCAGATCAGGAGATGATACATTATGAAGTGATATGGACTGTACTTAATGTGACTCTGATCCGGTTACTTATGTTGTGGCAGATATTTCAGTGAGCTTTCTTAACGCTAATGTTATAATAGTCAGATTGCTCTGAAGATGGAGCTGATATTCTATTCATGTTCACGTTCACACAGTCGGTGATTGTTGCCGGCCGTCTTTCCTGCAACGGCAGCTTTTCTCTATTTCCTTTCTCCTGTAATATGACTTGATCGCTTTAAACTCCGCACACTGAGCTCTGATTGGTCAGCAGGCGGTGCTTTCGCTGAGTTGATCTCTTATCCTGGAACCTATCCGGCTTCGGAGCAGGATAGGTTCCAGGATAAGTCACCATGGAGATCTAGCCCGCTAAAAAGTGAACCAGCTTCGTCGGACCGGAAAGCCCGAGTTTACCCTGAATTTAGCCGCTAAGCGAAAATCCTGCTTCGTAGTACACCCCCCTGATTCTCTTCACCTTGTATAACAAGAGAGGACTATAACCACAAAAGAGGCACAAACATTATGAATTAAAAGGCAAAACTAAATGTGTAAATATTTAATCTGAGATAAGAAACTTTCATTTTATTTATTTATTTGTTCACCTGATGTGATGTTTTATACTTTAATGATACAACAAATTAATTAAAGTGTACAAAAGTAAAAAAAGACCAACATTTTAAATAAACACCTTCATTCCTGAGTGACGTCATGTGATTTGTTAGTTTGTTGTTTTTTTCTGAAAAAATCGCTCTGTGCTCGACTACCTCTGCCTGCCTGTTGTTTACTGGGATCATGTCTTCAGGTCTGATGTTTCCCAGAATCCTTAGCGCTCTCACTATTGCCAGTCATCGTGCTGCAGTGACTGCGCAGATATTCAATAATAAACTCTTTAAAACTCATTTAAAGAGTTCTTTAAACAGTTCCCCGTTCCTCCGCTCATCACCATGAAGGAGTTAGCAGCGAAGAAGAAGTCTGGAGCCCAGAAGAAGGAGGAGAAGCAGGAGCCGCTGGAGGAGGAGATGCCGGAGGAAGAGGCTCCTGGAGCGGGGAAGAAAGAGCCTAAACCCGGGGAGACGGACAGCCTCACGCTGGAGGGTAGGACCGGGGACCGGGGGGACCGGGGTTAAAGAGCTAAAGCACCGGGATCTGGAGCCCTGTCTGTCCGGGTAAAAGCTCCAGGATCATATCGGTTAGCCTGTTAGCATCACCAGCTAACTATCAGAAGCTAACCCTCAGGTGACAGAAGGACTCAGGTCTGGTCTTCAGTAAGAGTCAAAGAACCAGAGAGAACCTTACTGGGTATACCGGGGTAAAGCGCTAAAGCACCGGGATCTGGAGCCCTGTCTGTCCGGTAAAAACACTATATCTGTCTGTTAGCCTGTTAGCATCAGCAGCTAACTCACTGTGTCATGCAGCTAACAGGTGGAGGACTGAATGGACTCCAGGTGTGACTGAAGTCTGATCAGAGAGTTATTCTGTCACATCATTGATCCAGTAACTAAAGGTATTAATACACGTAGAGGAGTAATCTGTGTGTGAAGCAGCGGCTAACCAGTCAACACACAGCTAGCATTGAGAGCTAGCATGTGCTAACTGAAGCTTTCAAACATCACAGATCAAATCATCTAATGTTTATATTAGAGGTTCAGAGGGAAGGAGTACTTCAGTACAAGTACTCGGGTCTTTAGTACAAGTACTCAGGTCTAGAGTACAAGTAGAAGTACTCAGATCTTGTACTTGAGTAAGAGTAGAAGTACACAGATCTTGGACTTGAGTAAAAGTAGAAGTACTCAGTTCTTGTTCTTTAGTAAAAGTAGAAGTACTCAGATCTTGTACTTGAGTAAAAGTAGAAGTACTCGGGTCTTGTTATTGAGTAAAAGTAGAAGTACTCAGATCTTGTTATTGAGTAAAAGTAGAAGTACACAGATCTTGTACTTGAGTAAAAGTAGAAGTACTCGGGTCTTGTTCTTGAGTAAAAGTAGAAGTACTCAGATCTTGCACTTGAGTAAAAGTAGAAGTACTCAGATCTTGTTATTGAGTAAAAGTAGAAGTACTCAGATCTTGCACTTAGTAAAAGTAGAAGTACTCAGATCTTGTTATTGAGTAAAAGTAGAAGTACTCAGATCTTGTTCTTGAGTAAAAGTAGAAGTACTCAGATCTTGTACTTGAGTAAAAGTAGAAGTACTCAGATCGTGTACTTGAGTAAAAGTACTCAGATCTTGTACTTGAGTAAAAGTACTCAGATCTTGTACTTGAGTAAAAGTAGAAGTACTCAGATCTTGTTCTTGAGTAAAAGTAGAAGTACTCAGATCTTGTTCTTGAGTAAAAGTAGAAGTACTCAGATCGTGTACTTGAGTAAAAAGTACTCAGATCTTGTACTTGAGTAAAAGTACTCAGATCTTGTACTGAGTAAAAGTAGAAGTACTCAGATCTTGTTCTTGAGTAAAAGTAGAAGTACTCAGGTCTTGTACTTGAGTAAAAGTAGAAGTACTCGATCGTGTACTTGAGTAAAGTACTCAGATCTTGTACTTGAGTAAAAGTATACTCAGATCTTGTTCTTGAGTAAAAGTAGAAGTACTCAGGTCTTGTACTTGAGTAAAAGTAGAAGTACTCAGATCTTGTACTTGAGTAAAAGTAGAAGTACTCAGATCTTGTTCTTGAGTAAAAGTAGAAGTACTCAGACCTTGTACTTGAGTAAAGTAGAAGTACTCAGATCTTGTACTTGAGTAAAAGTAGAAGTACTCAGACCTTGTATTGAGTAAAAGTAGAAGTATCTCAGACCTTGTACTTGAGTAAAATAGAAGTACTCAGATCTTGTACTTCAGTATAAAAGTACGAAGTACTCAGATCTTGTTCTTGAGTAAAAGATAGAAGTACTCAGGTCTTGTACTTGAGTAAAGTAGAAGTACTCAGATCTGTACTTGAGTGAAAGTAGAAGTACTCAGGTCTTGTACTTGAGTAAAAGTAGAAGTACTCAGACCTTGTACTTGAAGTGTAAGAAGGAGAAGTACACTCAGATCTTGTACTTGAGTAAAAGTAGAAGTACTCAGACCTTGTACTTGAGTAAAAGTAGAAGTACTCAGACCTTGTACTTGAGTAAAAGTAGAAGTACTCAGATCTTGTACTTGAGTAAAAGTAGAAGTACTCAGATCTTGTACTTGAGTAAAAGTAGAAGTACTCAGATCTTGTTCTTGAGTAAAAGTAGAAGTACTCAGACCTTGTACTTGAGTGAAAGTAGAAGTACTCAGGTCTTGAGTAAAAGTAGAAGTACTCAGATCTTGTACTTGAGTAAAAGTAGAAGTACTCAGACCTTGTACTTGAGTAAAAGTAGAAGTACTCAGATCTTGTACTTGAGTAAAAGTAGAAGTACTCAGATCTTGTTCTTGAGTAAAAGTAGAAGTACTCAGGTCTTGAGTAAAAGTAGAAGTACTCAGATCTTGTACTTGAGTAAAAGTAGAAGTACTCAGACCTTGTACTTGAGTAAAAGTAGAAATACTCAGGTCTTGTACTTGAGTAAAAGTAGAAGTACTCAGGTCTTGTACTTGAGTAAAAGTAGAAGTACTCAGGTCTTGTACTTGAGTAAAAGTAGAAGTACTCAGGTCTTGTACTTGAGTAAAAGTAGAAGTACTCAGATCTTGTACTTGAGTAAAAGTACTCAGGTCTTGTACTTGAGTAAAAGTAGAAGTACTCAGGTCTTGTACTTGAGTAAAAGTAGAAGTACTCAGGTCTGTACTTGAGTAAAAGTAGAAGTACTCAGGTCTTGTACTTGAGTAAAAGTAGAAGTACTCAGATCTTGTACTTGAGTAAAAGTAGAAGTACTCAGATCTTGAGTAAAAGTAGAAGTACTCAGACCTTGTACTTGAGTAAAAGTAGAAGTACTCAGATCTTGTACTTGAGTAAAAGTAGAAGTACTCAGGTCTTGTACTTGAGTAAAAGTAGAAGTACTCAGGTCTTGTACTTGAGTAAAAGTAGAACTCAGATCTTGTACTTGAGTAAAAGTAGAAGTACTCAGATCTTGTTCTTGAGTAAAAGTAGAAGTACTCAGATCTTGTACTTGAGTAAAAGTAGAAATACTCAGATCTTGTACTTGAGTAAAAGTACTCAGGTCTTGTACTTGAGTAGAAGTACTCAGGTCTTGTACTTGAGTAAAAGTAGAAGTACTCAGGTCTTGTACTTGAGTAAAAGTAGAAGTACTCAGGTCTTGTACTTGAGTAAAAGTAGAAGTACTCAGATCTTGAGTAAAAGTAGAAGTACACAGATCTTGTTATTGAGTAAAAGTAGAAGTACTCAGACCTTGTACTTGAGTAAAAGTAGAAGTACTCAGATCTTGTACTTGAGTAAAAGTAGAAGTACTCAGACCTTGTACTTGAGTAAAAGTAGAAGTACTCAGACCTTGTACTTGAGTAAAAGTAGAAGTACTCAGGTCTTGTACTTGAGTAAAAGTAGAAGTACTCAGGTCTTGTACTTGAGTAAAAGTAGAAGTACTCAGATCTTGTACTTGAGTAAAAGTAGAAGTACTCAGATCTTGTACTTGAGTAAAAGTAGAAGTACTCAGATCTTGTACTTGAGTAAAAGTAGAAGTACTCAGATCTTGTTCTTGAGTAAAAGTAGAAGTACTCAGATCTTGTACTTGAGTAAAAGTAGAAGTACTCAGATCTTGTACTTGAGTAAAAGTAGAAGTACTCAGATCTTGTACTTGAGTAAAAGTAGAAGTACTCAGGTCTTGTACTTGAGTAAAAGTAGAAGTACTCAGATCTTGTACTTGAGTAAAAGTAGAAGTACTCAGATCTTGTACTTGAGTAAAAGTAGAAGTACTCAGGTATTGTACTTAGTAAAAGTAGAAGTACTCAGGTGTTGTACTTGAGTAAAAGTAGAAGTACTCAGATCTTGTACTTGAGTAAAAGTAGAAGTACTCAGATCTTGTACTTGAGTAAAAGTAGAAGTACTCAGGTATTGTACTTAGTAAAAGTAGAAGTACTCAGGTATTGTACTTAGTAAAAGTAGAAGTACTCAGGTGTTGTACTTGAGTAAAAGTAGAAGTACTCAGGTCTTGTACTTGAGTAAAAGTAGAAGTATTCAGATCTTGTACTTGAGTCAAAGTAGAAGTACTCAGGTATTGTACTTGAGTAAAAGTAGAAGTACTCAGATCTTGTACTTGAGTAAAAAGTAGAAGTACTCAGATCTTGTACTTGAGTAAAGTAGAAGTACTCAGGTATTGTACTTAGTAAAAGTAGAAGTACTCAGGTGTTGTACTTGAGTAAAAGTAGAAGTACTCAGATCTTGTACTTGAGTAAAAGTAGAAGTACTCAGGTATTGTACTTAGTAAAAGTAGAAGTACTCAGGTGTTGTACTTGAGTAAAAGTAGAAGTACTCAGGTCTTGTACTTGAGTAAAAGTAGAAGTATTCAGATCTTGTACTTGAGTCAAAGTAGAAGTACTCAGGTATTGTACTTGAGTAAAAGTAGAAGTACTCAGATCTTGTACTTGAGTAAAAGTAGAAGTACTCAGATCTTGTACTTGAGTAAAAGTAGAAGTACTCAGGTATTGTACTTAGTAAAAGTAGAAGTACTCAGGTGTTGTACTTGAGTAAAAGTAGAAGTACTCAGGTGTTGTACTTGAGTAAAAGTAGAAGTACTCAGGTCTTGTACTTGAGTAAAAGTAGAAGTATTCAGATCTTGTACTTGAGTCAAAGTAGAAGTACTCAGATCTTGTACTTGAGTAAAAGTAGAAGTACTCAGATCTTGTACTTGAGTAAAAGTAGAAGTACTCAGGTATTGTACTTAGTAAAAGTAGAAGTACTCAGGTGTTGTACTTGAGTAAAAGTAGAAGTACTCAGATCTTGTACTTGAGTAAAAGTAGAAGTACTCAGGTATTGTACTTAGTAAAAGTAGAAGTACTCAGGTGTTGTACTTGAGTATGTGTAGGAATACTCTGTTACAGTAAAAGTAGTCACTGTGCAGATTGGTCCATTTCAGAATAATATATATGATGTTTTCTAATGATTGATCAAACGCGTGGAGGCGTGTGGCGCAGGGGGTAGTGCGCAGGTGTTCAGATCAGGGGCTCTCAGGTTCAAACCCCACTGCAGTCAGCATGTCGTTGTGTCCCTGAGAGCATAGGCGGCGCGTGAGGCTCAGGTTTGGGAAGGCTAACTTGTTTTACCTGACAGCCTCCGGCGTCTATAGAAAAGAGATCAACTCAGTGAAAGCACCGCCTGCTGGCCAATCAGAGCTCAGTGTGCGGAGTTTAAATCTATCAAGTCATATTACAGGAGAAAGGAAATACAGAACAGCTGCTGTATGCAGGGGAGACGCCGACGTGTTGCACTTATCGTTCATATCACTTCATAATGTATCATCTCCTGATCTGAGTCAGCTGAGCCGTATCTGGCCGTGCAACACTCACAGCGTCACAGACTGGATGCAGAAGCATTATTTGAAGCAACACATTAAGTTGAGGAAACACTGGAGTCAAATGTAATGAAAGTCAGATGGTGTCTTAGACGGCAGTGATATCATAAAGCTGTTAATGTACGCATTCAAACACTTGTTCTGTTCCCAGCTGTGTTCACCTTGCAGGTGCAGCTCTGTGGCTTTGATCCTGGATCAAGTGTTTAAGTCATGGATGTTTAAACTTTAACTTCTTCATATGTCTAATATTATAGTTGACTTTTCATTCAGGAAGTATGACGCTGCGCTGTCAGTGCGCTTCTCCATGTCTGTGATTGGTCGAATGTAGCTAGCCCCGCCCCTTGAACGCGCTCTCAGCCGGACAGATTGAGATGATAACCAGCGTGGTCAGACCGCTTAGCGAGAGCTCGTTAGTTAGTGAAGGTAACGCAGAGAGTCTGTGGAGGCTGCAGCAGCGCTAACGTAAAGACACAAACATTATATCTTCATTCTACCAGGATGCAGTGACACACATATTTGGGAAGCCTTCCCTAGCCTGCAGCCCCCCCCCTCCCTGAGACCCTTCACCCCAAAGTGCTCCTGTGGGGGTCCACAGTGCTGAGTGTGTGAGTCTCTTTGGATAAAAGCGTCTAACAGGTGACATCAAAGTGTTCTCAAAGCCGGTGGAGCTGCAGCTCGTCTGGATGGCTTTGGAGACTGCTGGATTTACTCCAGGTGGAACTACAGTCTGATTTAACACTCCTTCTTCCTCCTCTTCCTCCCCCCCCCCCCCCCTCCTCCTCAGACATCAGGGAGCATGTGAAGCAGATAGAGAAGGCGGTGTCTGGGAAGGAGCCTCGCTTCGTGCTCCGGGCTCTCAGAGCTCTGCCCTCCACCAGCAGGAGGCTGAACACCAACGTGCTGCACAAAGCCCTCACAGGGTTCTTCACCAACAACACCGTCACCAGAGACTTCCTGCTGAGCAAGCTGGAGGAGGTGAGCCTCTCTCAGTAACTCCTGTTGTCTCTCTGTGTCTCATGTTGTCTCTGTGTCTCTCTGTGTCTCCTGTTGTCTCTCTGTGTCTCTCTGTGTCTCATGTTGTCTCTCTGCGTCTCATGTTGTCTCTCTGTGTCTCTCTGTGTCTCCTGTTGTCTCTCTGTGTCTCTCTGTGTCTCATGTTGTCTCTCTGTGTCTCATGTTGTCTCTCTGTGTCATGTTGTCTCTCTGTGTCTCATGTTGTCTCTCTGTGTCTCATGTTGTCTCTCTGTGTCTCCTGTTGTCTCTCTGTGTCTCCTGTTGTCTCTCTGTGTCTCCTGTTGTGTCTCATGTTGTCTCTCTGCGTCTCATGTTGTGTCTCATGTTGTCTCTCTGTGTCTCATGTTGTCTCTCTGCGTCTCATGTTGTCTCTCTGTGTCTCCTGTTGTCTCTCTGTGTCTCTCTGTGTCTCATGTTGTCTCTCTGTGTCTCCTGTTGTCTCTCTGTGTCTCTCTGTGTCTCATGTTGTCTCTCTGTGTCATGTTGTCTCTCTGTGTCATGTTGTCTCTCTGTGTCTCATGTTGTCTCTCTGTGTCTCATGTTGTCTCTCTGCGTCTCATGTTGTCTCTCTGTGTCTCTCTGTGTCTCATGTTGTCTCTCTGTGTCTCATGTTGTCTCTCTGTGTCTCATGTTGTCTCTCTGTGTCTCATGTTGTCTCTCTGCGTCTCATTTGTCTCTCTGTGTCTCTCTGTGTCTCCTGTTGTCTCTCTGTGTCTCATGTTGTCTCTCTGTGTCTCTCTGTGTCTCATGTTGTCTCTCTGTGTCTCATGTTGTCTCTCTGTGTCTCTCTGTGTCTCATGTTGTCTCTCTGTGTCTCATGTTGTCTCTCTGTGTCTCATGTTGTCTCTCTGTGTCATGTTGTCTCTCTGTGTCTCATGTTGTCTCTCTGCGTCTCATGTTGTCTCTCTGTGTCTCATGTTGTCTCTCTGTGTCTCATGTTGTCTCTCTGTGTCTCATGTTGTCTCTCTGTGTCTCATGTTGTCTCTCTGTGTCTCATGTTGTCTCTCTGTGTCTCATGTTGTCTCTCTGCGTCTCATGTTGTCTCTCTGCGTCTCATGTTGTCTCTCTGTGTCTCTCTGCGTCTCATGTTGTCTCTCTGTGTCTCATGTTGTCTCTCTGTGTCTCATGTTGTCTCTATGTGTCTCATGTTGTTTCTATGTGTCTCATGTTGTTTCTCTGTGTCTCTCTGTGTCTCCTGTTGTCTCTCTGTGTCTCATGTTGTCTCTCTGTGTCTCCTGTTGTCTCTCTGTGTCTCATGTTGTCTCTCTGTGTCTCTCTGTGTCTCATGTTGTCTCTCTGTGTCTCATGTTGTCTCTCTGTGTCTCATGTTGTCTCTCTGCGTCTCATGTTGTCTCTCTGTGTCTCATGTTGTCTCTCTGTGTCTCTCTGTGTCTCATGTTGTCTCTCTGCGTCTCATGTTGTCTCTCTGTGTCTCTCTGTGTCTCATGTTGTCTCTCTGTGTCTCCTGTTGTCTCTCTGTGTCTCATGTTGTCTCTGTGTCTCCTGTTGTCCTCTCTGTGTCTCATGTTGTCTCTCTGCGTCTCATGTTGTCTCTCTGCGTCTCATGTTGTCTCTCTGTATCTCTCTGTGTCTCATGTTGTCTCTCTGTATCTCTCTGTGTCTCATGTTGTCTCTCTGTGTCTCTCTGTGTCTCATGTTGTCTCTCTGCGTCTCATGTTGTCTCTCTGTATCTCTCTGCGTCTCATGTTGTCTCTCTGCGTCTCATGTTGTCTCTCTGTGTCTCATGTTGTCTCTCTGCGTCTCATGTTGTCTCTCTGCGTCTCATGTTGTCTCTCTGCGTCTCATGTTGTCTCTCTGCGTCTCATGTTGTCTCTCTGTCTCTCTGCGTCTCATGTTGTCTCTCTGTGTCTCTCGTTGTCTCTGTGTCTCGTTGTCTCTCTGTGTCTCATGTTGTCTCTCTGTGTCTCATGTTGTCTCTCTGTGTCATGTTGTCTCTCTGTGTCTCTGTGTCTCATGTTGTCTCTCTGTGTCTCTCTGTGTCTCTCTGTGTCTCATGTTGTCTCTCTGTGTCTCATGTTGTCTCTCTGCGTCTCATGTTGTCTCTCTGTGTCTCTCTGCGTCTCATGTTGTCTCTCTGTGTCTCATGTTGTCTCTCTGTGTCTCATGTTGTCTCTCTGTGTCTCTCTGCGTCTCATGTTGTCTCTCTGTGTCTCTCTGTGT